ATCCTCTCATTCCTTTTGTTTCCCAATTTTCCAAGATAGACAAACAAGGGAAATATGGCTCTCCATTTCCTTATCGCGTAAATGATTACATAAAAACATGTATTTAATGATGCAAAAATTCCATCAAAACCTATTGTAGATTACCAAGTTTAGAGCTTTGTTGAGATAAAAATGTTGGTCTTGGAAGTGGGGTTTTAGAGCTTCATTGAGATTAAATCTTGATTCTCGAAGATGGAGTTTTAGTTGATACATTCTTGAAGTCATAGCTACCGGTATTTTGGCGTGTGTCTATTATCAATAACATAACGGCTTGGCCCAATGATCTCTTTGCTTCAACAACGTATCTTAGGTTTTGGATTCAACATATCCAACATATCTTAGGGATTAATTCCGAGAGATACAACATATCTTTGCTTCAATAATACATAGACTTGGCCCAATGACAACTATCCTAGGTTCAAAACCATTTCACAACATCATTGAATCTCTCGGGATAAATAAAAGAAATATCCTGCAAATCTAACATGGTAGTAGGCTCAAGTTGGCAATAGTATCATATATAACAACAGCCCATCATTCGCAAGACTAAATATTAATATTTTTGGATTGTTATAATTATTAGACCACGAATAAATATCGTTATCTTTTCTAGAATACCATTGATGTGAGATATAGAATGCAATAAAGCTAGAACCTACTTGAATTGACATACTTATTATAAAAAAGAAAATTATTAAGTTCATAAAATCATTAGTCTATATTTGTGATTCAATTTTTTGTTTATCACATGAAATTTATTGCAATTATTGCATATATACCTATTTGCTAATATATTTCTTGTACAATTTTTGAATCCAGTTACTTAAGCAAGTTTCTATTTATCCTGGCATTGTGAAAAATCTGTTGCATGAATGGTTGACAATATAATTAAGAGAAGTATATTTTGAGGCTGGCAAGAAGTGGTGAGTTGACCTATTAGATTAAGGGTGCCCTAGATGATGCAGGAAAACTAATGATAGTCTCTTAAAAATGTACAGATGGAGACTCTACTTTCATTGTCATATGCAATCTAAGGTTATTTCTGATGATAGATATGAGGAAGATCTTCTGGTAGTATTTGGGATTGTGTTAATGTAATTAATCTCAGCAATAAGGAGGTTGATTTTCCGTTGTGATGATATTTTTGGAAAAAAGTAACTTTGATAGTGTTAGTTGCGTATTTGTAATGGCAATGGAGCCTGTAGTATGAAAATTTTAGTTTTCAAAAGTTTAAATTTTTTTCTATGTTTTTTCCTAAGTACCATAGCAACAAGCCCTTTTTTAACTAACCATTATTTATTAATTTCCGAAAGTTTTCTTACCTCGTAATATTGTTGCTTCGTGCAGATGAAATTTTGCAAAAAGAATTGGATGCTCTCACATACAGAAAGCTTTCCCACCTCCTTGATGTTGTCAGAATTTATTCTAAAAAAATTGATTATCTATTTGATGAGTGTCCAAATGTGCTAACTGAAATCAACGCTTCTACTATCAATGAAAAAAGTAAACAAGCCAGAATCGCATAGGGCCACTTCTCTCTATTACCTTGCCAGAAAGGTTTGAGATTGATACTTTGATCTGGGCATCCTGAAGATTTTACTGGATAATTTTATTTACCGTAAAATTAATACTATGGCTGTTATTTCTCTCGTTGTTTTTTCTTACTATGTTTTGTTTTTTTTCCGCAGAGGCAATGTGGCGGCATATGAAGAGATCACACTGAAAGGTATAGATTTGATTTAGATATTCTTCATGTCTTTTTGTTTGTAATATTTGTCCAAGATTATTTTTGGTTAAACAGATGGAGCTTGGAAGAACAATGAAACAAGGCAATACTCTCTAGACAAGGTATATGCCAAATGATTGATCTAAACAAGTAAATACTTTTCAAATGCTGTCCGTTTAATTTGCATATATCAGTTCATTGATTCTGTCTAATTTCTCATAAGATGCTTTCTCCTTTTTCCTAATTTTCTTACTAATATTGCTTATACACAAAAAAGGCAACCAAGATTTGTTTGCTTATGACATCGTGGCTTACCATATTGGTTTGACTAGTATTTTGCGTATTTTGATCATACTAAATATTTTGGTCATATTAAATATTTTGGGTATTTTGATCATATGAAATCAACTTTGCTTAGTATGGGAAAACCTAAGTATTCTGAATATATTATGGTTTATAATTAAAACAGCGGATGTACTCTTTTCTCATTATCATAGCGGAAAACTTCTTCTCTGTCTTATCTACAGACGTAGATATCTATGTCGAATCACGGAAATTTTGTATCTTTTCTTCTTTTACTATTTACTTTGTGTGATTGTGCGCATGATTGTGATTATTTTCTTCAATAATAATCTTCTTTAAAATTGTTGTTCATTTGGTTTAACCCAAAGAATCAAGATCTAATCCTTATGACCACAATCATTAGCATACTTATGTCTAACATTGACTAGAATCCTGATTAGTAATCTATTAGTATGGATAAAAACCTATGTCATACTATCACTAGGTTCTCCTTACTCTGTCTCAAATGTAGAGGGGTAGTTGGCATCATTTTTAGCTCGAAATGAATTCTCCAAAAAGGAACAGTTTTTGAATATCTTAATTTCTACTGGAAATTTTTATTTCTTTCACAACTTATTCTCAACTTTCACATTCTGACGAGTTTTCTGCCTGCCATGATGCTTGCTCCTCAGATGACAACCCTCCTCAAGAGTATGTACATAAATCTAATTCGGCTTCTCTGGGGCTTTAGATGCTTGATTTAGTTTGACTAGCTCATATTTTCAAAGTTGTTTGATATTATCCTGATATTGCAGTGTCAATTTTTGTCAAGTAACGAGAATTGCTTTGGAGGTTAGAGCCTCGTGTGAGCTAGGCGACATGGAAACTAGCAAGGAACATATTAGAGGAACTATGTTCCTGCAACAAGATGACGAGAACCTTGAAACTTTACGCGGGGATGAAGATGAAAGGAGGATTAATTAGATCATACAAGAAGACCTTGATCTAAGCAGCTTGTAAGAAAGCATAAGGAAACTTCAAAATGATATATTTCAAGGAGAATCCTATGACTTAAAACTATTTAATGATGATGAGGAGAAATTTCTTGAAGTTTTTAGAGAATTTGGTGAGGAGGATCATACTGGTTTAGAGTCGACAATTTGTCTATCATGAATTTATCACAAAATGAGATAGGTCAGATTAACATGGAAGATGAACTGGCATCAAGTACACCTAGTGCGACTCATGCAGTCGAGGAAGAATCTCCTACAACTGTTAGAGAATTTGGTGAGGAACATCATACTGGTTTAGAGGCAAAAAACTAGTCCAACACGGTTTCATCTGAAAACGGGATGCATCAAGTTAACATAGAAGATGAACCAATACTAATTACATCTAGTTCTACTGCAGCTCAACCTAATACTTCACAACTTTCAGGTAAAAGATGAGTGAAAAAGTTAAGCGTGCATCCAAATATATATCTATCTCTATAAGAGATTGTGGATTCTAATCAAATAGTGTGTTCTCGTTAGAAAATCATATTATAATGGATGCGAATGTATCACCTAATTACAAAATGTACGTACTTTTATCTAAAAGAAAATTCAAGAACATATAGATTAAATTCTTAAAAAAAAATCCAAAAATTATTTTTTTCTTAATCCATTAAGAAATAGTCTTTATGATTAATCTTAAACATGAGCAAAAAGCATGAAGGAAAAGATCCTCCTCCGTGCACGAGCTTGTCTATGTTTTTGACATTACGAAGCTGAGGAATACTACAAGCCGAGGTCTAACAATAGTGATTTTCTATCTTGTTTAGGTACTAAAAACTAAAGGGTATGTGGATGTGAAGCAAGAAAATGCATACGGTGACATTCTGGTACAGAAAGCTCCTCAGTTGGATGAGTTGCTTCCATGGAAATAATATGTAGAGCAGAAAACTGCCATAATATAGCATCGGTTTTTTATAATTATAATAGGAAGATAGATTCAGATATTGTATTGGTGCAGTTTCTGTGTAAATTGGATTTTTTGTGTTGTTACATTAGATAGCTTTTGATTTGAATGGGAAAGAATAAGAGTGAGTTAGGAAAGGATGTAAATATCATTTTGGGTATATAGGTAAAACATTTACCATTTAAACAGATAATAATTCAGTCAATAAAAGGTAACTATTTTTTTTGCTTCAATTTTTTCTAAGGAAAAAAAAAGGAGTTTTTTTTTTTTAGCTTCTAAAAGTATTATTGGTCCTAGAAATGTAACCATCATGCCATGGACAAAACAACCGACGGCTCGGGGGATGGCTGCAAGTTTCATCCTGTCAATCTTCTTCAACTTCATCGTTTGAAACTAAATCTAACTACTGGTGTTATTCCGTCGCTCAACATAGCAGCCGGATTATTGGGCTTGGTCGTCTTGAAGGCTTACACCATCTTCCTCCAAAACTTTGGACTCCTCAAAAATTCTTTTACCAGACAGTAAAACACTGTCCTTCAGACCTGCATTGTTGCTTCCTCTGGCATTGCCTTCAGCAGTAAGCTTATTCATTCCTTCCTTCCTCATGCCTTTATTGTACATAAGGATGGAGAGAATAATATATAAAGTTTTGAAGTTAATATGTTGGGGATGAGTGGGAGGGTGGCTGCTCAGGCTGAAACTGGAAACATTCCGGTGGATGTCAAGACACTTTTCTCTATTCGTAGCCAGCTTTTTTAGATTATTCTCTATGTGTGCTCTAAGAAAGGATAACTATTGGATAAAAGTTGGATTTAATTGCATTAACTGAGTAGTATTATTCAAATTTCCTGTACTCGTGAATAATCTACGTAACACTCAAGTAAGAATAACTATCAATGAAGCTAAGGACAATTTGAAAATACGGTGATGACTCCAAAAGTGTTTGCAGGATTAATGTAAATACCAGGAGAGAAAAATGAGGAGAATCTCGTACCACAAGGAGCTTGTGCAGTTATGATGTATGGTACACCAAGATACTCTTTTGCAGCATTAGCAGTTAAGGAAGGAATATCCTGCAATCAAATTAACTATAAAGTCAGGATTAAGGACTTTATGTGTATGACCTGAGCTTCTTAAACCATATTAAACCGAACAGATGAACAAAAAGAAAAGAAAACAAGGCTTCTAAGAACAGCAACAAAAACAATTTAGCAACTTAAACCAGTACTTGAAAACCAAAAAAAAAAGATTGCAATTCAGAATTTCAATATTGGGCATCATTTGGAGAAGAAGATGAAAGTGATTGTGATGATTGTTTGAGAAATAACTGCTTTTTATAATGTTGGAAGTCAAATATAAAGGATTAGTGAAATTAGAAGGCATTAGATTCTTATTTCTTTATTTCTAAAATTAATTCATGATTTAGTTAAGACAGATTTTGGCTGGTGATAATAAATATGATACTGCTGTTTGCATATTCACAATTGATAATATCATTTGATTAATTTGTGCAAAATTTTTATTTTACATATACAAATTCAAAGTTTAAAGCCAGAAATCCAATATGATCAGTTAATCAAATATATTACAACTATATTCTTCAGATACTTCAAAAACATACTTAATCAATAATACCCAAAACTATATATAAACTTTAAGTTAGCTAGAAGCTGGTTGTTTTATATACTTACAACTCTCCCACAAAAGCTGTGAACCACTAAAGAGGTAAAGGCTTGTCGCCTTACCTTAGAAAATTTTGTTTTGAAAGCTGTTTAGAAAAATGAATTATATTATTCATTTTGACGAGCTATTTTCGTACTAACAATGCTAATAAAGTTTTTGAGCTATCAAGTAAATCATATAATGAAGGGCAAAAGATCATCAATAAAAAGATAAACAAATTGAAGATTAAGTGTAAATTTTCTATAAAATCTATTCATCTTCTATGTAAAATAGATAACTAATGGATTATAATCCCTTTCAACTCTTGAAAATTCCTTTAAAAAACGTGACTTTCCAGAAAGTCATCTAATTTATGCTTTAAAATTAAAACATTGTGTACAAGAAATTCTAAAGAAAATAAAGTTTTTTAAGAAAATTAAAACTTTGTTCAAGAACCAATTAGCTTTCTTTTCCTGAAAAATCAATTAGATTATAAACTATAATGCTTTGAAAATATTACATAAATATACATATCTTTTTATATATAGCATAATGCTTTAAAAAGATTACATATATATATATATATAAACTCAACAAATACTGTCAAAATTTTTAGAAGGAAAAAAGGGGCTGCAAAAGACCATCTTAGAATGACATAACAATCGCGTCTTAATTTGTATTAAAATAAGCAGCGAACAAATGAAGTCTACATTTTTGGGTTCCAGCACAAATTGCATGTAGAAAATATTATAATTAGAAGAATAAATTAAGATTAAAAATGATTATTTACAACTGTTATGTGCTGTAAATGGATCCTCCATTTACAGTTGTTATGTGCTGTAAATAGAAGGAATCACCAACATGTAACAAATTTGTCTTCAGAAACAGAATTTTATTAGGTTTCTCTCCAGAATTTGTTAAATTGTTAGGGTAGTAGACTTGTATATATATGTGTGGAAATCATTCATCAAAAGAATGAAGAATATTTTCTCTCAATTTTCTTCATGGTATCAGAGCCATATCTGATCCAAAAAGAAATTGATATCAAACCTTACTGAGCCATAATAAAAAATGGCCTCGGGTGAGCTTCCATCATCTCCACCAGAAGTTTCTTCTGGTTCTTATCATCACACAGCAACAATCAGAGCTGTGAGTGAACTACCATCATCCTGTATCACAAGACATAAACTCGATGGCAGCAACTTCTTTCAATGGTCATCGTCTGTCCGTCTCTTCATCCGCGGAAGGGGGCGTTATAGGCACCTCACTGGCGAGCTCATGCCTCCTCCAGCGTCCGATGCAAATGCACAAACCTGGGAGATCGAAGACAGTATGGTCATGTCCTGGCTCATTACCTCAATAACTCCTGAAATCGGAGAGAATTTCCTTCTCTACGAAACTGCTCATGAAATCTGGAAGGCAGCACAAGAAATCTACTCCAACAAGCAAAATACATCTGCAATATTCGAAATCGAGTCAACTCTTCATGACCTTCAACAAGGAGAACTCAGTGTCACCCAGTATTACAGTATCCTTAGTCGAAATTGGCAGCAGATGGACGCCTTCGAAGAGCGTCACTAGAACTGCCCCGAAGACGCGAAAAACTTCAAAGTCTTTGTGGAATAAAAGCGAATCTTCAAATTCCTGCTAAGGCTAAACAAAAATCTCGACGTGATTCAGGGACGTGTACCACCTCTCTACCCACAAAATCCATCACCAGACAAACTTTTCTTGGAGATTGAACCTGAAACCTCACAAAAGAAATCAGAACCAAAACCTGTTATAGAAAGCACATTACCTGCAACGAGTGAGTTACGTGTCTATACAAAAAGAAACAAAGGAAAAACACCCGAATCATCCAAGTACTGCCATGAATTCCCCACTGATCCAGATAACGTAATCTCTGTACTAACTCTTGATTCCGTTGATTATGATATTCTTATTACTTTGAGGAATGGCACTCGAACATGCACCAAACATTCTATACAGGATTATGTTTCATTGGACAAATTATCCTCGGAACATCATGCTTTTGTGAGCAGGATAGACAGCAGTTCACCTGAACCCAGAACAATACATGAGGCCTTGGAAATTCCAGAATGGAAGTTAGCTGTCCTAGATGAGATCAGGGCACTTGAAAAGAGTGAGACATGGGAACTAACAGATCTTCCTCCAGAAAATCGTCAAGTAGGGATGCAAATGGGTTTTTACAACTAAATATAATCCAGATAGGAGTGTGAACAGACTTAAGGCCCGCCTGGTAGCCAAAGGCTATACATAATCATATGGTATTGATTATCAAGAAATGTTTGCACCAATTGTCAAGCACAATACTATTCGAGTACTCCTCTCACTTGCATCTAACCTTGACTGGTCAATGTATCAATTAGATGTAAAGAATACATTCCTTAATGGCGTTTTGAAAGAAGAAGTATATATGAATATACCACCAGGGTTCGAATTAACTGACAACTCTCAGAAAGTGTATAAATTGAAGAAATCACTCTATGGCCTAAAACAATCTCCAAGAGCATGGTTTAATAGATTCACAAGAGCTGTAAAACATAAAAGATATGAACAATGTCAATCCGACCATACATTGTTCGTCAAACATTGCATATCAGGTAAAAAGACTATTTTGATTGTATATGTTGATGATATCATTCTTACAGGAGATCATCTTGAGGAGATTCAAAAACTTAAAGAATTACTGTCCAAAGAATTTGAAATAAAAGATCTTGGAGCATTAAAGTACTTCCTCAGTATGGAAGTAGCTAGATCAAAAAAGGGGATCTCAGTTTCTCAACGAAAGTACATTCTGGATCTCCTAAAAGAGATTGGGATGCTAGGAAGCAAGCCTGCTGACACCCCTATAGACTCAGTCATCAAACTTGGATCCAGAATCAGTAATAAAATGTTTGACAAAGGGAGATACCAAAGACTTGTTGAGAAACTTATTTACTTGACTCACACAAGACTAGACATCAGTTTTGCAATAAGTACAGTAAGTCAGTTCATGCATCAACTAATAGAAGATCACATGAGTGCTGTGTATTGGATTCTGAGGTATCTCAAAAAAACATCAGGACAAGGTTTATTCTTTCAAAAAACATACAGAAGGGATGTTGAAATTTACACGGATGCGGATTGGGCAGGTTCTACAAACGACAGGAGATCTACATCAGGATATTGTACCTATGTTTGGGGTAACCTGGTTACCTAGAGAAGCAAGAAACAGTCTGTTGTGTCTCGCAGCAGTGCAGAATCTGAATTTAGAGCGCTTACTCATAGTATTTGTGAAGGTGTATGGTTGAAGAGAATACTTGAAGAATTAAAAGTCTTCAGCAATATGCCTATGAAAGTATGGTGCAACAACCAATCAACAATTACTATGGCCAAAAATCCAGTACATCACGATAAAATTAAACATGTGGAGATTGATCGTCATTTCATTAGAGAAAAATTGGAAGATGAGACTATAACTCTGATGCATATTTCAACCAATCAACAGATCGCAGATATTCTAACTAAAGCTCTTCCTAAGAGAACCTTTGATGACATAATATCCAATCTAGATTTACTCAACATATACGTAAACTAGATTGAGGGGGAGTGTAGAAAATATAATAATTAGAAAAATAAATTAGGATTAAACATGGTTATTTACAACTGTTATGTGCTGTAAATGGAGGAACCATTTACAGCTGTTATGTGCTGTAAATGAAGGGAATCACCAACAAATTTGTCCTTAGAAACAGAATTTTGTTAGATTTCTTTCCAGAATTTGTTAGGTTGTTAGGGTAGTAGACTTGTATATATATGTGTGGAAATCATTCATCAAAAGAATGAAGAATATTTTCTCTCAATTTTCTTCACTGCACATTCATCTGCATCTCTTTCTATATAGCTTATGCAGTGTTTTATCCTGTCATTTACAACATCCTGCAACGCATATCATCCCCATTAAACCTAATTTAAACAACTAATTGCTCTAGTTACACAACTCATAAACATAAGCTTTCAAAAGCCAGGTGGAAACCCATAAAGAGCGAGGGAACTAATTATCACATTACTAACCCTAGCAACCTAAAACTGGAGAGAAGGAGAAAAGGGAGAAATTATTTACAAATGGATATGATCAATGCAAAAGATAAAACTAGTTAGAATGGCAGAATAACGTCACTCAATGCCGTGTTACTCAATAAATGTTGGCTGCTTCTGTTTCTTGAATCTTGTTTTAAACAATCCTAAAACACTATTATGTTAAATATAGGGCGTCACAAATTCTATACCTTGAGAATCAGAAACTTCTGTTGCTTAATGAGCCATATGGGTATTAGACACATTCTGATCCCTTGAGCTCTTAAAAGACAAAATAAACCATAGTCCAACCTGCTAGTAGGCCAAGGTCTATCTCATAACAGCACAGGTCTGGTTACCTAGAAATACTACTTGATGGTGTTCTTGGAATTGGAGTATGCACTCCTAATAAGAAAGTATATAAATTTCTAACGGACTGCATTCTCAATTAAAAGTAGTTATAACTAGATTAGGAACTTTAATCATAATTATTTGATCAAACTAGTGAACAACACTGCAAATCAGAGATACATTTTTGGAAACTGGTGAAAATCAGTAATAATAAGGATGAAAGTTTTCGTTTTAGTTTTAACTAAATTAAGAATGCAGTCAATCGGGAACTTTTGTACATTTGTTAAGAATGCTGTTAACTGGACATATATTGAGTGCCTTTATATAATATATATATACAAATAAATACTGGTTTCATGGAAATATTGGGTAAAAGCTTGATTTAATTGCATTAACTGAGTAGTATTCATATCCCCCGTACTCGTGAATAATCTACATATTAATCAGGTAAGGATAACCAAAAATAAAGCTAAACACAATTTGAAAATACAGTGATGACTTCAAAAGTTTTTGCAGGATTAACGTAAATACCAAGAGAGAAAAATGAGGAAAATCTCATACCACAAGGAGCTTGTGCAAGCCAAGAGGAGCAGTTATGATGTATGATCTGCCAGGATACTCTTTTGCAGCATTAGCAGTTAAGGAAGGAATATCCTGTGAAACATGCAATCAAATTAACAAGGCTAGAATTTTAATATTTTCCATAATACCTTCAACAAAATGGTGCAGCCATTAATCAATCATGTAGATTAAGGTCAAGGGTACAAAGCAAAAATATAGTAAGTTACCTGATGCCAGTGCCGTCCAGGAAAGAGAAAAAAGGCGCTTACTATCACACCATTTGCTCCTTGTTGAACACATGAACCAAATGCATCTGTTATTGATGGTTCTGCCAACTCCTATTTATTTGGTTGGTTTTACAAAGCCCAAGATTTCAGTTTCATGGAATTAACGATGGCACGAAATGTACAGAAAATTCTGTCGATCCAAAAAAATAAGTACACCAAGTCAACACAGTACACACACTAAACTGAATAAATAGCATCAGAGCTAAAGAATTGTGCCCATCATCTTTGCAATATTACCTTTGGGAAAAACATCTAGATAACCAAATATGGGCTTTAAGGAGTATGCGCATAACAAATAACAATACGTAGCTATGAGTATCTCGAGTGAGCTTCAAGACCAATTGCTACTTTATAACAGCAGAGAAACAAAGTAGAAAACCAAGTGGTCACAAGTTACAACTTCTTAATCTCTGCACCTTTCCTAAAACATAAAATGGTATGATTCGCATCCTTTTCAGATCAAACGAGCTCCAACGAGAAGTACAATTTCTAGCTTATGGCATAACTAATGATACTTCAATAAATTAAATGCCTGTTTTTCAGAAAGACCACTGCAGAACATCTGCAAGCTGCCACCATCATGAGAAGAATATCGTAGATCACAATATGGGCAATTGCTTTTCCATGAGTTTCTTGTAAAATAAACAGAAAACTAGAGTATGTACATCTAAAGCAACACCGAAGAATGAAC